CGGCACATAGCTCGTCGTTGGCACGGAGCCTCTCCGCAGCCCCGTGAGCCGCGGAGCCTCCCGAGCCTGATCCCGAGCTCCCAGTGATGTCCCGGGATACAGCGGGACGCGTGTGCTGCAGGACAGCTGATGGGGTCTCACTGCCATGTCATGGCCCCAAAACGCACAGAATTCCCTAACTTCCCACAGCAGCTTTGCTCAGGAGCTCCCCCAAACTGCCTGAAGAGCCTGACTCCCCCGGGCTCCTGCACAGAGGTACCCCCTACACCCCCTGAGGGACCTCCTGTGCCCCCCTGAGGATTCCCCTCTGCCCCACCTGGGTGTCCCTGGCTGAGTGTTAACTCCCACTGCATCTGTGCCCTGTAGCAAGTGCTGTGGAGGGTTCTGAGGCTCTTGGTTCACATCAGTTTTGGTTTGTTTTGCCGGATTTCTCTGTGTTTGGAGAGCACATGGGGCAGAGGGATTTTGGAATACTGGTGGATTTAACCCAGGTCTCAGCTGGGAATGCTGTGCTGGGCAGAGCTGGTTAGAGGCTCCATGAGAGGAGAGCGGTGCTTGCTAGGAAATGGACTTGGTGCCTTGTGCAGCCCAGTGAGCCCTTCCTGGGTGACAGACAGCTCAGGGAGGGTCTGGGCAGGCTGCAGGGGCCTCAGAGTTGTACCCACCCCTGCTGCTGTCAGAGTTGGAGTGAACTCGGCCACAGCGGCTGTACTGGCACCAGTAATTCATGGGGACACAGGTCCTGGGAGAAGGGACTGCCTGGATTTCTGGCTGCACTGGCACAGAGGTGCTGGAGGGGTGAGTGCTGCCCCCGTGCTCTGACACCTCCTCTGTCCCTCAGGAACAAACATGGCAAGGTGATCAAACCACTGCAGTATCAGTCCACGGTGGCTCCAGGCACCGTCGCCAGAGTGGAGCCAAACATCAAGTGGTTTGGTGAGTTCTGTTCACTCTCACACTCAGCAAGCTCAGAAACTGCTGAATTTTGTGCCTGGAGGTGTGATCTGAGTGCTGTGGGGACAGTACTGAAAGGGAAGGTGAGGGACCCCGCTGGGCATGGACTCACACCTGTACCTGTGCTCAGGGGTTTGCTTTCCACGTACACCTCCGAGGGTGGTTTTTCGGCCTCCTGTGGCCATTCCCTGGGGATTGCCAGTGTGTTTGGATGTTTAGTGTCCTAAGGATGCTTCAAAGTTTCCTTTAAGTGCTGGAAAAGAAAGGGATTGGCCTATTAGTGCTGATTTGGGGTTGGTCTCGGGTAGAATCCTGTGTTCTGTCACTGGTGTGGTTGATCCCAGATGAAGTGTTCCTGCCTTGTCAGTGTCCTACATGTGTGTGGGGCAGTTAGGTGAGGAGTGGCCAGTGCAGTGTTTGTCTCTACCTGCAGGAAACACTCGTGTGATCAAGCAGTCATCCCTGCAGAAGTTCCAGGAGGAGATGGAGACTGTGATGAAGGATCCTTACCGGGTGGTCATGAAGCAGAGGAAGTTGCCCATGTCCCTGTTCTACGACCGCATCAAACCACACGTGGGTGTCCACGGAGCTCTGCTCGGGGCTGTCAGGGGGACTGGCCTGGGGGCACTCCTGTTGCTCTGCCCAGCTGGGAGTACTGAGCTCTGGAAGCCTTGGGAGGGGCAGAGGGAGCGTGTCCTTCGGGGAAGATGGTTCTGAGCCCCTGCCACTGTGGGCATCAAGTGTGAGGGCAAAGAAACAGTGAGAAGAGATGTTGTTTAATAGAAATCCTCATTTTCCAGTAGGAAATTATCCCAAAACACCCCAGGGAATAGAGAGCAGGTGTAAATTGGAAGTTAGGAAGAAATTCATTCCTGTGAGAGAGGTGAGGCACTGGCACAGGTTGCCCAGAGCAGCTGTGGCTGCTGCTTCCCTCCAGGGATGTGTTCCAGGCCAGGTTGGATGGGGCTTGGAGCACCCTGGGATGGTGAGAGGTGTCCCTGCCCATGGCAGGAGGTGAGACTAGATGGGCTTTAAGGACCTTCCAACCCAAACCATTCTGTGGCTCTATGATAGGTTATGATGTGATCCTATCGTGATGTGGTTCCATGGTAGGTTAGTGTGACAGGTGATGTTCTGATGCCTCTGACTGCTCCTGGTCCTTTCCTGAGGCTGCTGCACACTGCAGACACTTGTGTGATGAATCTGGACCCCGAGTATGTGTGTTTCCTATCATATCACAAACTCCTGTGCATGCAGCTTCATTTCTGGTACATTTAGTTATTGCAAGTTATTGTCATGGTGTCTGAACTGTTATTTTGGAGTCCTGGTAGCAATTTTGGCACATGGAAACTTTCTATGTTTATGTCATGACTTCTTCCTTAACTGAAAGAACAGTTTTATGTTGAAATGTGCATCACAGCACTAAACTGCTGCTTTCAGCAGTGAACTGTTTGCTGTTCCAAGAAAACTTGGCTCTCACTGCAAGCTCTAAAATCTGCAGTTTTGATTGTAATTATCCTTGACAAAAATCTGAGAATTTGGCGAGATTTGCGCACTTGTTAGAGAAATAAGAAGTGATCAAAGATAGCAGCTGAATTTTCTTCACTGTGGCTGTAATTGCATCTGACATCATTTATGGTGGAAGAACTGAAGCATAGTTCTTTGGCAAGTGCAGAGTGTTTTGTTGCTTATTAAATATCCACTCCTGTGTTTCTCAGAGCTTAGGCTGGAAAGCTCAGCTCTTGTTAGGGATGTGCCTGTGGCTCCTTGCAGGTTCCAGGGCAGTGTTGGGCTCGAGGCTCCTTCACTGCCTGCCATGAGGGGTGGGAAGAGTGGTGCTCCTGGGGTGTTTCACCCATCTGTTCTCCCTCAGACCTCCAGAGTGCACATCCTTGACACAGAAACGTTCGAAACAACATTTGGCCCCAAGTCACAGAGGAAGAAACCAACCCTGTCTGCGAGTGACGTGCAGGCCCTGGTGGAGAATGCTGAGGCCTCCTCAGAGTCCTACGACCAGGGCAAGGACCGAGACCTGGTGACAGAGGACACTGGTGTCAGGTGAGTGGAAGGAGAAGGGATTCCTTGTTCACACGTCTGAAAGGCTGCTGCCTGTGTTTTTAAAGCAGTGTCTGGTACACCCATCAATGCTGCCACTGTGTGAGGAGCAAGGGAAGTGAGGTCAGCTGCATTTGGGACTTCAGCTGAATCCCAGCTGGTCCTTGGGCCTTGCCCCCTCTCTGTCTGTAAATGGCTTTAGGGCATACAACTCTCTACCTCTGTTTCTGTGTTGCTGATGTCTCTGGTGATCCACTTCCAGGGATGAAGCACAAGAGGAGATCTATAAGAAAGGACAGTCCAGAAGAATCTGGGGTGAGCTTTATAAGGTAAGTGGTGCTTGGAGTGCTCAGCAGAGTCAGTTCTGTCAGCCTTTGTGCAGTCAGGTGCTTCAGCACAGTAGTGAAATCTGTGCAGGAGAGAAGCTCTAGAAGAGAGCAGAGCCTCATTTCCAAATTTCTGCCTGACTGACCTTAATTCTTGAGCTCTTGTCCTGCTGGAACAAACATTCTTACGAGTGATCCAGAGAAGGACTGGCAGAGGGAAGGTATCAGCTTCTCTTGGACTCCTGAGACTTCACCACAAGTAAACAGTCATGTTCCCTTAGATTTCTCAGGGCTAGAAACATTTGGCATGTTGATGGGTCATCTTGGGAGGGCTCTGCTCCCCAGTGCCCCGAGAGCCACCGTGGCTGGGGAGGTGGAGGCAGAGTGGGTTGGGGTGGTGTCAGCAGCCGTGTGCTCTCAGTGACTCTTAGGTGTGACTTTTTGCTCTGAATTTCTGAATGTAGCTTTAGACCTTTATATTTGGATCTAAGAACACTGGGAGCGATGGAGCAAACCAGATTTCATAAGAGGCTGCCAAAACTGCAGGAAAAAGCTGTGAAACAAATTCACTTGGCTTGAAGCAAGCTGTAAAATGACAGCTCCCTGCTGTAGATACTTAGTCGACTAACAGCAGGTTCCTGCTTGGTTGTGTGTTTCCTATTGATCCAGAAAACATCCTTTATACCCTGCTCTGTTATGGCATGGCAGGAGGGAATGGATGGTGAGCACTGGGGGTTCGTGTGCTGCAGCAATTAGTTCTCCCACTTGGGTGCAGAGATTTCTTTCCCTGGTGCTGTCCAACCTGAATTGAGGGGAGTTAGGACAGGAGAGTGGAGGACAGTGGGTGTTAGTCTGAGCTTCCCTGGTCTGGGGGGAAGTAGCAGTTTCTGAAGGATACACATGATGTAGTTTCAGAAATTACTGGTTTTGATTTGGAGGCACAGGTGTCTTGCTTTCTGTGAAATCCTCTCCTTCTGTGTCACTTTTCCCAGGTGATAGACTCCTCAGATGTTGTTGTTCAAGTTCTGGATGCCAGGGATCCCATGGGCACTCGCTCCCCTCATGTGGAATCTTACCTTAAGAAGGAGAAACACTGGAAGCACCTCATTTTTGTCCTGAACAAATGTGATCTCGTCCCTACCTGGGCCACAGTAAGCACAGCCCTGCGTGTTGTTCCTTGGACCTTCTTTGTTCCTGCTGTAGCTCCGTGCCAGTGCCCGTGCTGGGCTGGAGGGGCATAGGGAACTGGGCACTGGGAGCTCTCTGCTTGCCTGCTGGAAAGGCAACAATCGTGATGTAAATCCATCCAACTTCGGCTGAGTTGAGCAACACTCACAAGCCACAAATTCCCTACTTCCTCTGCCTGGATTTAGCAGTTCAGCTGCTGTCTCCAGAGCGTGCTAAACGTTACTCTGCCTAGGATCCATGTCCACCCCAGCTGGTTTGCTTTATGTTGTTAGACTAATGAGTTTTAGCCAGCAGTGAAGGCATTTGAGGGAGTTGTTTGTCTTTTGTACAAACAATACTCAGAGCTTTTAGCTGTTGGGTTGGGGAAATGCTTCAAAGGTTCTTCCCTAGCAGTGCTGCAGTTGTGAGCCCAGTGGCTGCGTGCTGCTCTCCGAGCAGAGGTCCCTAACCCTGTCCCCTTTGCCTCTCCAGAAGCGTTGGGTCGCCATCCTTTCCCAGGAGTATCCAACACTGGCTTTCCATGCCAGCCTGACAAACCCTTTTGGCAAAGGTGCCTTCATACAGCTTCTCAGGCAGTTTGGAAAGGTACTGAGCAGTTTGGGAGGTCTGTGTGGTTGGGCCGGAGGGCTCTGGAGTGTGGTCTCTGTTGGTGTTTGGGGTTCAGGACTGCAGTGTTAGTTCTGTTCCTCACTCCAAGGTATAAAATGTGTTCTTTCTCACCAGCTACACTCTGACAAGAAGCAGATCAGTGTGGGGTTCATTGGCTACCCCAACGTTGGCAAGAGCTCGGTGATCAACACCCTGCGGTCAAAGAAGGTCTGCAGCGTGGCCCCCATCGCAGGGGAGACGAAGGTGGGTGGATCCTGCGCCGGATGCAGATCTGTGCAGTCAGCCCAGTGAGCTGCACAGGCTGTGACCCCGAGGGGCGGCCGGGGGCAGTCCCTGCTCCGGCAGCGTTCCCGATTCCTGCCGCGCTGTGCTGGGAACGCTCCGTGTCTGTGCTGCCCTGAGCCGAGTGCAAGGTCAGGCTCTGCCGGTTCTCTGCCCTCCAGAAACCTGTCAGCAAACGGAGGTGTGTGACAGGAGCTGATGGGAGCTGCTGATCTCTTCCAGGTGTGGCAGTACATCACCTTGATGCGGCGGATCTTCCTCATCGACTGCCCGGGGGTGGTGTACCCGTCGGGAGACACAGAGACAGACATCGTGCTGAAGGGAGTGGTACGTGTCTGCACTCGGCCTGGAGAGCTTTGCTGGGCCCAGAAGAGTGACTGCACACTGCCCACGAGCTGATCCTTCACCTCATGTTTGCAGGTTCAAGTCGAGAAGATTAAGAGCCCTGAGGATCATATTGGTGCCGTGCTGGAAAGAGCCAAAGCAGAGTACATCAGGAAGACCTACAAAATAGATTCCTGGAAGGATACAGAAGAGTTCCTTGAGAAACTTGCTGCTAGGACTGGAAAGCTGCTAAAGGTGTGACAGCCTCCTGCGTGCGCGGGCTGGAGGAGCCTGTGGCTAACCATGGGAGATGGGAATGTTTCCATTGCATATGGGGAATGGGAAGGATTTGTGCCCTGCAAATGTGGACATAAATTGTTCCTGTTTTTTCCAGGGTGGTGAGCCTGACTTGCAGACTGTGAGCAAGATGGTTCTCAATGACTGGCAGAGGGGCAGGATCCCATTCTTTGTGAAACCCCCAAATGCAGAACCAGCTCAAACAGGTCCCCAGGTGAGAAGGTGGTGCTTGTGCCTCCTCTTCCCATGGGTTATTTGATTTTCCTAATGGGATTCTCTGCTGCTTTTCCTGGAGTGCCATGAGACTTGGCTGTCCCCAGGCCTGGTTGTTCAGGTGACACTTGAGTTTGGTGAGGACCAGGCAGCAGAGCTCTCTGCAGAGGTGTCTGAGCCATTGCTGACTACCAGAAATGCCAGCAATTACCTCATTGTCACCTGAAGCCTTTGCCGCGGAGAGAGACTGGAAGTTGTTCTCGGGGGTGGTGGGGCAGACTGGGCAGTGTGTCCATGACACTCTTTTGCAGCCTCCTGTGCTGGAAGCAGCTGTGACACCCAGCCAAGAAGACACCCAGGAGAAGGTGTCCGAGGTGGTGGCACCAGGGGCAGAGCCAGTGGAGGACAGGGAGGACACCGAGGTCAGGCAGCTCATGGCCCACGTCCGGCAGAACTTCGGCAGGATCAACGTGGCACCTCAGTTCTCCGAGGAAGACCTGGTGCCTGTGGATGTGCCAGGCTTTGACGAGACAGACAGTGAGTCCTCTGGAGAGCAGGGGGAGGAGGAGGAGGAGGAAGAGGAGAAGGAGCAACCTCAGGATCCAGGAGAGGAGGAGTCGCAGGTGGCTGCACCAGGTGCCAGGGAGAGCTCTAAAACTGTTCTTAAGGCTTTGGAGGACAAGATTGCAAAATACAAAAAATTTCTGGATAAAGCCAAAGCCAAGAGATTCTCAGCAATAAGGTACCTGAATCTCTCCAACGATTTGCTGGGGGGAAGAGGATTGGTGTGGCTCTGCTGTACTTATGCTCTGTTCCTGACTTGCTTGACTTGCTTTCCTGTGCTGCCGCACACAAGTTGCCACAACTTACCCAGTTTAGCCACAAGTGTTGGACATTTGGCCAAGCAGCAGTTTGGTTTTGAAAGATGATTCCGTAATAACCAAACCCCAAAATGTTCTCCCTTTTGGAAAGCTGCCTCTTGAGCTGTGGGTTAGAAATCTCTTGGTGTTCTGGGCAGTGATGTTGCATCCTTGGATCTCTCCTGGATGTTGGGTAATACCAAGGCTATTCCTATGGATGCAGCAGCTGGTCCTGGCCCACAGAGCAGGCCCAGTCTTAGCAGAGCTCTCTCACCAGCCTTGTGAGGACTGAGATCTGAAGGCTAAGTGTTGTATTTTGTTACATTTTGAGCAATGCACGAGCCCAGTAACTCTAGATACAAGAGTGCTGCAGTGTGGGTGTTAGGTGCGAAGGCTGTGGCTTTGGTGCTGACAGGGGACTGGGATCTGTTGGGGACTAATGGCTTCTCAGAGGTGGTCACAGTTTGTGTTACAGCAATCTCCTGCTGCTGATTTTATCTTCCATAGAATCCCTAAGGCACTGAGTGACAAAATTTTTGCAAAGTCCGTGCAGAAGGCTGAAGAACACAAAGAAGCTGAAGACAGAGGTAATACAAGATTAGTAGATGCTCTTAGTCTACATTGGGAAATCCTGTGAGCCAGAGGAGGGAGCAGGGAGGGGAAGAAGGCTCCTGCTGCTGCCCTGCTGTGCCTCCCTTAGAGCACCTGCCTGTGGTGGGAGGGGAGGGACAGCGACAGGAGGTGATGTGTTCCCAACAGCCAGAGCAGCTCCCTCCCCTGGGTTGTCCCACAGGAGGGAGTGGACAGGGTGTGGGGTGTCCTGGAAGCGCAGAGGCACTTGAGGCTGTGGGTTTTACTGTGGCTTCAGTTGCCAGTCAGTTTGATGAAAGGCCCAGTCAGGTGTGAGTTCTCTGTGCTGACAGGACCGTGGAATTCTGGACTCCCGTGGGGCTGGAATCAATCTGCCTCTCGGAGCAGCTTTCACAGTAAGAGCCAGTGATTCTGTGGGGAGGAACATGCACGTTGTCCAGGTAGAAACTGTTCCATGCAGCCAAAGGAATGTATTGCTCAGGGTGCTGGGATGGTGACCCCAATGAAATCTCTGCAAAGAAATGGGTGTTCTGGAAGATGCCCAAGTGTGTGTCCTCTGCTGTTTGCAGGCAACACAGAGAAGAAAAGAAAGAGGAAAGCAGAAGAGGAAGATGGTGATGAATTGGATAAACAGCCTTGCAAGAAACTCACATCCAAAGAAGTAAGTGTGATTTCCTGTAGTACAACAGCCGAGCAGGGACATAGAGGCTGTTTTATGCATGGATTGTGCATTAGCACTGAGGAGCTCTGAGACTGGGCACGAGCAGGAGGGGAGCAGAGCTAGGATTGTCCTGTCCCAGCCCTCTCACCTGACCATGCTCCCAGGCTGCTGACTGACCGCACAGTTTGACTCGGTCTCTGCTCTAAGAGCTTGGGTGGGTGAGTTCTCTGCAGATCACATCAGTAACGTTCTGTCTGGAAGGGGTTACTTTGCTGGAAGTGAGCAGCACTGGGAGTTGGGCCGCGGAGCTGTGGGTGTTGGGGCTTCGCTGATGTGTTGAGGAACCGAGCCGAGAGGCAGCAGCGCTCCAAGAAAGTTGGAGTGCACTATTATGAAACTCACAACGTGAAAAATAAGAACAAGAACAAGAAGAAAACTGGCTTGGAGGAACAAAGATCAAAGCACAAAAAATACAAACATAAGCAATAGCTGCTTATTCTATTAAATTTCACATGAAACAGCTCTGGCCTGCGGTGGCGTCTCGCCCGGCGAGCCCTCGGTGCCCGCTCAGGGCCCAGGGTGCCCGGCCTGCCCCAGCCCCAGGAGCAGCACCTCCTCCTGTGTCTGCTCCATCTGGAGTCCTTTGTGGGGCTGCTGGTGTTTCCACACTGCGGTCCCAGGCCAGCCCCAGCCCCACAGCTCCTGCAGCGTGGGTGTGGGTGGGTGTTTTCTGGAAGCTGCTCAATGGGGTGTTCACAGGACCAGGGAATTCTCTGTCCCAGGGCTGCTTTGTGTACAGCCTGCTGCTTACACAGGTACCTCGAGGAAAGGTTTTGTGTGCTTCCCCTGAAAGGTACCTGTGACTGGCACTGTGCCCTGGAGAGTTTTGGTGTGTCACTCGCCCTTGTTACCCGTGACAGTTCTGACAGGGGATTCCGTGTACAATTAACATCAACTTGCAGGGACTCAAGGAAACACCCCCAGACACCTCCCATGTGTTTCTTGGTGCATGTGACTTACATTTCTTGCAGACACTTTTAGAGCATTTCTGAATGTCCTACAACATTTTCAAATTAATATGCCAGAGATGTTTGCATTTTGAAATGTTTATTAGTTACTGCTTTGAAGGTCATAGCACCAACAGGCAAGTCCCAGACAAGTTCATGTTCAAAGAGCTGAGTGATGGCACTGAAAGGCAGGAGTAATTAGAGAGACTCAAGTCTCAGCTCTTCAGGAGAAAGAGAGGACACAGTTACCATGCCCTCAGTTACTGGTAAGTGAAAGCTCAAGACAAATCTCTGTCACAAAGTGTAAGCTTCTTGCTCTCACAGCTCTTCGGAGCCTGCCTGGAGGGCAGCAAAACAATTACTTCTTTAGTGCAACGATGCTTTCAAGTTGGGCCTGAAAAATATGAGAGAGAGAGACAAATGAGATCCAACCTAGCAGCCGAAGCTGCTGTGCTGCCAGCAGGGCAGGGCTGCCCCAGCCACAAACCCTTGCTGCCCCCAGCTCACAAACCAGGCCGTGCTCCGAGGGGAGCACCCTGGGACCACAGACTCTGTGGGAACGTAAAGCACTGAGGGGAAATTAAATAAAAGCTGCTGGAACTGCTCTGGGTTCTCTGATTTCAGGCTGGGCTATGTGAGCTCCATTAAACATTTGGCTCTCTTGCCTCTGGAACAGAAGTGCCTGTGGGAACAGTAATTGCTGAGCCAACCTGATGCCCAGGGAGGGGACTGATGGGAGCTGCCACCAGAGGAACCCACAGCAGTGGCACCCATAGCTGGGTATGGAGGGACAACACACTTGATCTAACAGTTGGTGCCCCAAAATACTCCTAGGCAGCCTGGAGATGTGAGAGGGTCAGGAAGCAGCAGTGCAGGAAAGGGGAGCAGCTTGTTCTCAGGGAAATGTGTTCACTGTAGCCAGAAACATTTGGGGTTGCTCAGGGTGACATTCTCTCCCTGAAGCATGTGGATTCTTTCCCTTCAAAGCCAAAGTAGGAGCAGCAGCTCTGCTCTCACCAGAGCCACATGCACAAATATTACCCAGTCCCTGTGCAGGAGCTGTTCTTGGGCAACATTTAATGCCAGTGATGTGTCCTGGTGCCAGGGACAGCTCAAATGGCCCTAACCAGCGTTTCACTGTGCCTGCCTGGAGCTTTGGCTGCTGCTGACCTTCAGCTGCTGGTTGGTCCGTTTGAGGAACAGAATCTCCTCCATGTGCTTCTTTTCCTCCATCTGGTGCTGCTCAGTTTCTTTTCTTTCAGTGGCCTCACGCTTAGCCTTCTCCTCACTCACTTGTCTTTCCAGCTCCTTCTTCTCCTCCTCCAGCTCTGCAATCTTGGAAACGAGTACAGATCTCTCCAGTTTGGTTGGTTAACAGCCAGTGTCCAGGTCAGAGGGGACAGAGCGGTGCGTGGCACAGCTTCAAAGCCTTCCAGACACAACAGAGCACGCCCCGAGGCGCCGCTCGGCCCGAGCGCAGTGCGCTGAGTGTTGTGCGGATCTCTGCCGCCACCGCGCGGAAACG